TATTTATTATATTTTAAAATATAGTAATAGGAATTTTAAACATTGTACAAAAAGACATAGGAAATTGTGCATACTCACAAATATGTCAATATTTCTTATATGTACTTAGATATTTTTAATTAATGTTGAGGCTTCATGTAAAGGAAGCATTTCTACGGGTCTCCACTTGCAGCAACCTCCTCGTGGTGAGACTTGAGGAATCGATGCTTTTGGTATACAATTAATAATCGAATTGCATTAACGAGAGACTATACAAGGTATATTTCACTATTGGTGGCGGAAAATGTAAGAGGTGATTCTAGACACCAAATTAAGATGAAAATCAAGAGTAATGAAATTGCGATAAGATCTTCGTCTTCTATATTCGGGGATATTTTAACAAATTTTTAAACGCTTATAACTATCAAACGAAGGCCTTACCGCAATTTTGTTACTCTTTACTTTCGTCTTAGTAGCGAAATACCCCGTATAATGAAATTATTAATTATATAATTAATAAATCGAGACAATTGGCTGCACCTCTTGTCTATTGTAACACCTTTGAGAGTAAAATCAAACAAAGTTGTTAGATTTAAATGTTTTCATACTTGTTAACGTCATTATTTACTATAATTACATTACTCTTATGATTTATTTGATAGATATGTTTGCAATTTGTACGTAATATATTTTTATAATTTATTTATAGTGCATATTTTTGTAATGAACTTGTAATATTGTTTTAATTTATTCATAATGTATACATTTATTGTGTATATTTGTAATCTATGTATTTTTTCACATATTTGTAATGTATATTTCTATATTTAACCACTTATTAACCATTTTATATCTGAAAAATTAATAAACAAATCTAAGAATATAATACTAGTAATATATAAAACGTTTATTTTCTACATAAGTTTTCAAAATTATCATAAATAGAAGTAAAAGAAAGATATTGCATTTAGCTAATTCAAATAGCCTGCTTTACACCACAGCCAATTTAAATGCCAAGGTCAAGTAAGGACTTCAAAGGCACTGCTCGAAGTGTTGCCTCTTAGTATATCTCCTCTTTCATAATAATGATCTCATGTGAAGTGTAAAGTTACATTCACAGTTATGCATGGCCATTATCTGACATTATCTTATAATTTTAAATCATATGTACACGTGCACATTTGTCATTTACACCCTCTTTCTTGCAACTCTCATAAATAATACCATATCTGTAAAATAAAACAAAAATATTTGTCTTGTATGTCACAGAACAGTGTAAAATTAAAAAAAAATGTTTAAATATTATATGTAAATATAGCAATGATCTGTCTTAATGCAGTTAATAAAAATAAGATTAATGTATTTCTTCATTACAGTGTGATACTTACTAAAAAAGACAACTAAAACAAATGCTATCATCACCCACATCCAACATCTCCAATGTGACTTAGTATGTTCCCGTAGTTTCAGTGATTCTTTTGTTAATTTGGTTGCATTCACATCTGTTAATTTGTCCGATTTGTCAAGTAAACCAATATCTTTCTTTATAATAGCATTTGCTGCCAAAGCATGTTCTTTCATACTACTAGTCATTGAAAGCATATTCTCTGCAATTTTCTCTTGAATATTCCTATTATACTTTAGAAGCGCATCTAAATCATCATCTTGTATACTTGTAGTAGATAGTCTTTGTCTTACATTGTTCTCCAAGGATTCTAAAAACATATGATAGTATTATGTTTACATTTGTGTCTTGAATAAAATAAACTTTATATACCTTTCTCAGTCTGAAACAATTCTGTTCTTAATTCTCGAATATATTTTGCTGCAATTTTTTGATGTATTTGTGTTGTTATATTTGGTCCCAACGAATCACTGAACGTTGTAGAACTTTTTGATAACATCTGTACTGCTGCTACTCTATCCACAGGATTTGTCAGTTTTGTTGTATTTATTAGTCCTTTTAAAAAATCTATTCGTTTAATATAACCCATCATGATATCCTTAGAAGGTTTACTGCAAAATTATAACAAAATTTGTAATAGCTATGTATTACGTTTTCGATTATTATATATGTTCCATTTATTTTAATATTACAAAATAAAAATATCTACACTGAAATAATACCTTGGCAATGCTTGCAATTGCTTTATCATATCATCAAGAGCAAAGATATACTGAAAAAATTAATATCTTTATTTAAAATAAATTGTTTTGATTTTAAATGACATTTATAATAAAACAAGTATATATTTTACTAATTTTTAAACCTTTTCCAGTTTCCAATCTTTATGAGGATCATCTTTGGCCATCAGTTCACACCTTGCTAAAAGTCGTCTGATATTAATTTCTTCTCTTGATGTTAAGTTCATTGTGCAAAATTTCTAAAACCTGTTAAAAGTTTTGTTAGTTCCGTTTATTGAGTGACAGTTATATATATACTAATTGATGATAAACTAATTACATCTATCGAACAAAGTATCATAAGTATAATAAATTGGTACATGTATTAACCGCGGTTTGAATGGTTCATTGGGCCCTATTTTCGTGGTCAATAACCAATGGCCGTTGACCTTAAGCACGGCCTGTTAACTGCCATTAGAATAGTATGGTCAGTCATAAGCTACCGGCCCTTATCACCAATGGTGCTAAAGTCGCATTTTTCGACACATGACTTCTATGTAGTGTTATGTAGTCGGCGGATAAAACACGTTTTGGCGGTAAAGGGAGTTTAAACCGTTGGCCCTGGTTGGCCCGTTGGCCATTTAAATTTTGTTTTCTGTTGCAAGTGGTTGGTTACAAGAGGACTAAAAATTTGCGGAAATGATGCGTTGCTATGTACCTGATTGCGGGAGTGCGAAGAGTAAAGTTAAAATCTATGTTTTACCAAAGGAGAAAGAGGTAAGATTATACTTAAAACCAGTTTTTGTAATATTATTCATATTACAAATTTTCTCCCAATAATAACGAAGGGTCATTCTACGTGAAGTCTAACACTTTTTGGGTAATATTTCGGATTTTGTTGAAACTTGGATATATTGTAGCCTTTAATGATATACGAACATATCGAAGGATTTTGAAAAATTTTTTGTATTGTAAAAATTAACTGTGTTTCAGAGACGAATAAAATGGTGTTTGACCATATGCAGGCTCGATTTAATCGACGTCCATCCATCCAGACGAAATGATTACCGTGTCTGTGAATTACATTTCACATAGGATTCACTGCATACTAATATTCATAACAGAACAAACCTGAAGTATAACAGTATCCCCACATTGACTTTGCCAGGACTGCTAGGAAAATGGATGGACACAGGTATGTATTTTTTCCACAGTAAAGGACGACTTCATTTTAAAGGCTCAGGATAAGTACTATGTTTCATTTTTATATAACTTACATGCAAACGTATTTTTCCCTTAAATGTTACTTATTTTTTAGATGAAATGATGCAAACAGTAGATGGCACATCTATGACTGTGGAAAGTAAGTTTGAGGAACTGGGTACGTTTTTTTAAATTATAGAATAAATCAATTTTCATGAAATTTATCTGTGCACATACTTATAAAGTCTTAGTACTTAAGTACATGTGGGAGAATATATACAACGCTTTTATTAACATTTACATACTTATAATTTATATGGGAGTAGAAATAGTTTTACTGCCTATTGTAAGAATCTTAATACACACGAACAATTACTTTCTGGCAATTGGTAAATTTTTACATATGAATTTACTTACACGTTATTTACTTACAAAAATTGTATTTATTGTGAGTAATTAAATAATGAACGTATGTTAATACTTAGCTATGTGTCTCTCAAATTAAGTGAAATACAGAACTGTTATTTTCTTGAAAATTAGTGTCAAAGAATGCAGCAACTGGTCAGATTAGTTTCGTAAATAAATCGAAACCCTGTATTGGCACACTGTTTTTTAGGCTATCAAATATCACACGGAGTCTTAGGAAGTAGTAAAATCCTTCACACAAATTCAATGAAATACTTTCAGGTACCCAATTTAGGGCTATGAAATTAGAATGTTCAAGAAGAGGTAAAGAAGTTTCATATTTGCAATTATTTTGTGATACTGTAATAGAAATCGGTATCCTGTGAGAAAAATCGTATTTAACGATATGAAAAATAATAAATAACGGTCTTAGGGATTTATACTGGAGAGCTAAATCTTTAAAAGGAACATGTCGCTTAAACAAATTAGTTAAAAATGATATTTATTTGGGGAATAGGAACATCATAAATGAACGAGAGCGGTAGAGCGTGCCGCGGTATCGGTGCTCTCCGTCGGTCCAACGCACTAGTAACGTTGCGTCACACAGTTTATTGACCTAGCCGTGTACGCCGTGTACCATGGCCGTACCTGGCTGTACCATCCGGTGTGTGGGTCCATCAAGGAAGGTCGTTCAAGCCGGCAAAAACAATTCAACACGAACAAACCTGCGTACGCCCAATACATAACGGCGTTAGCTTCCTCACTTTCTCGTGAGCCGTCGCGGAGGGTGGGCGCGCGTCTCATACTCGTCCTTTCTCTTGTTACTAACCCATTGTTTGTTGCAGGCATTCGACAACCATCAATTTATTTACTGTGCATAGTATTAATTTATTTACTGTGCATATTGTTGTGTCCCCTCTCTTGTTACTAATCCCTTGTATGTTACAGATGTTTGAGAATCATTGGCTTCGATATTTATTTTCTTGTGTACTGTGATTCATTTAGTCTGATTTATTTACTCTGATTTCTATACTGTGATTCATTTACTCTGATTTATTTACTCTGATTTCTATACTGTGATTTATTTACTGTGTATATTATTAATCTATTTACTGTGCATATTGTTGTGTCTCTTCTCTTGTTACTAATCCCTTGTATGTTACAGATGTTCGAGAACCATTGGCTTCGATATTTATCTTCTTATGTACTGTGATTCATTTACTATGATTTATTTACTGTGATTTCTATACTGTGTTCTTTACTGTGCATATTACGTATTTTATAGGTATTGTATAATGAAAAATATGTTTCCAATCAGTTATTCCATCGAAAGAAGATATCGATCAATGTCTACATCCTCAAAGCGTCTACCATTACTGTTATATTCATATTCATCATCACATCGTTTATTATTAATTTTAGTCTATCTATTAATAGACTTAAATTGTGACCATCCATTGTGCATACCAAGTTATTATTAATTCATTTTGCTCGTTGATTCTCTACAGAGACTTGGGGTACAGGCAGTGGGTCTGTACCTATGGTACGGGCAGTGGGTCTGTACACTAAGACTGTTTGCCGATCCCTCTGGTTTCTATTGAGAAGCCAGATATCGGACGTGTTTAGTCTTTGCCTGGTAAGTAGGATTTGGAGAAAGACTCGTGCGTGCAAGGGTACGGAGTAGTCGGGAGGCTGCTCCTTAAACAGAGAATCTCGCTTGCACTACCATGCTTGTGTACTCTTTTGGTTCGGGTCTGGTACGCAGGTGACCAGCCCAAAGCTCCATGACAGTAAAAGATGGATCCGGGTTAGCGAGGTGTCGCCCGTCTTTCCTATTTTCTTAAACCAGGTTCTGGCGACAACACTTTCATCGCGATACTTGTTCATACTGTAGTTTAACGCGTAGTTCATCGTAGACTTAATAACTGCTTGGTATATAGAATATTAGGTGCGTAAACGAAATGATCGATGGAACTTTTTCCATTCCGTCTATCTCTTTCGTTTGAGTATTAGCGACTACGTTGCGTTTAGTTTAAGTTATTTTGTATTAATAGCATTAATTCGTATTAATTAGAATATTAAGATAATATTAGTTCTAAGCTGAAGAACGAAGACAACCGACGAGGGAACTTAGTTTTTTATAGGTTTAGGCTCAAGAAAGAAGTCATCCGCCGAGGGATTTTAGTACCGATAGTATTACATAGTTAAGATTTAAGTTATTTATAAGGTTTATTGTGAAAGGTGGGTAGATGTAGAACTTGTGATTCCATCTACCTGCCTTGGGCCTCCACTCGCAGCAACCTCCTCGTGGTGAGGCCTGGGCAATCGGTATTATCATCGGTAAAGTACTGTAAACTGATGACAATATCGAGCTAATGGCTGCGAACTTCGAATCTATCTCATAAAACCACGTTCTATATTATATCGAACTAGGATTATTTTAGAAATCGATATGAGATTCAAAGTGTAAAAATGTCTAGTACTTTGAATGTTTTAGAAAAGTATTCGAGATAAAGATGTATGGAACTACTGAAAATTATTTTAGATTCCTTTTCCTTATTCTGTAAATTCTTTAATTGGAATATAAATGTTGCTGGAAGTATGAACATTTTCACAGGACAATGATATAAATGGAACTTTAAAACTTTTTTAAGCGTTACATTGATATTTCGTTATATGTTCCATAATGTCAATAATATTGATTTCCCCGCAACATCCATAATTATTACAAATGTCAATATAACGAAATATCTTTTATGCGATGTTTGTGGTGTAATAAAAATCTGTGTTTCGATTACGTTTTTGATACGTATTACTCACTTATATGTAATGATATAGAATAAAAATATACTGTTAGTAAATATACTATCGGTATTTCACTAAGATGATAGGTCTATCCTATACCTAGTCGGTGGTAATAACCCTCTTCTGACTAAAAAAAAACTTCTGTAAATACACTTTGTTGATATCTCTAAAAATAACGGAGATAATTAACATAAACCTAAAATGCGTATATCCAGCCCACCCTACATGTAACTGCGTCGCACGTTTGAATGCTCTACAAGCCCCTACTAGTCCGGAAAACGAATGTCTACTGTATTAGCAAGGAGCAATTGAAATACAGTAGACATTCGTTTCCCGCACTAGTCGGGGCTGTAGCGGGCCAGAATTCCAGATCCAGGAACCGTGCAGGACAGCTATGCCAGTTACCCGAGCACATTCCCCACCACCCACCACTCGGCCGTTCAGTCGTGTGACGCAGTTATATACATATACTTATGTCTATGATGTACATACAAGTTTTGAGTAAATTGCCAACAAATAATGACAAAAGTTGTCTAAAAAATCATAGTTATCAGTTTTCGCATTTGGCTTAAGTTTTGCAAGCAACGACAGCTATCAAAATGGTAAAACAAATTGGCAGGAAGTCTTGCAACATAACCTGTGTCAAATTGGGGGCAAAAACGGAACAGGTCTGCGCAAGCCAACGTGGTGCATATGTTGCTGCCAATTTGCTGCCTATGTTGCTGTCAATGTGCGCGCAAGTTGTTTATACCAAATCTTGCATGAAACTTGTAGTCATAACTTTATAACCGGCATTAGACAAAATTTGGCTTTGCAGGTTGGCTGACTGGGTTATATCACCACACTTTCTGTGATGAAAAATATGCGAATTAAACGCGACACCGTATGCATTACGTTCTTCCTTGCTGGGCACAGAGCGGGGTGCGCGCAGGTGTTGGTACGTCTGTGAGAAATACGTTCGAGCGCGAGCGAAGCAGTGATGCCAGAATCGTGGGTAAACCGCGCGAGCGCTTACCCTCTCCATGCCTCCCGTGGGTATTTTACACAAGCATATTCTAGCCTGTCCGTGAGCTCTGCCCCCACTACGTCCTACTCGGCGACACACCAACACAAGCGTTTTCTACCTCTGTCCGTGTGCGCTCTGCTTCGGGTGTTCTCGGCAAAAGCCTACGTCACGCGTTTACGACGCGACGGCCGAGTGGCCCAAGCCAGGTCAAAAATCCCAAATCCCAAGCAACCTAAAATTTACGTCCTAAACGCGGAGAGCTGCATGATTTCTCTCACGCGTTCATGATGAAGACCCCGTCCGAAACCCCGTCCGAAACCCCGTTCGAATCCCGATGCGACGGTTTTACTTTTTATTTTTAATTATTGCATAATTTCATTTTATAATATGTCAGTAAAATAAAAACTCATCATCATTGGTATGATGCTGATGACTCTTTAAAAGTTTGGTTGCAACCAGTTTCTTCAGACGAATCGAAATGCATCTGTAAGGCCTGCAATAAAATCTTCTATTGTGGACTTTCAGAAATACGCAGGCATTCGTCTTCGCGGTTACACATTACTAATATGGAGCAAATGTCTTATACTAATAATGTGGATGTGCAGCAAATTCCGCATTCTAGTAATGTGGATGTGCAGCAAATTCCGCATTCTAGTAATGTGGATGTGCAGCAAATTCCGCATTCTAGTAATGTGGATGTGCAGCAAATTCCGCATTCTAGTAATGTGGATGTGCAGCAAATTCCGCATTCTAGTAATGCGCATTTGCTCCATACTGATAATGTCGATAACAGCGGCTCAATTCTAACCGTGGAAGAGCCTGTATCGGTGCAATTTCAAACCGGGGGATGTGATGAGGATTCGGATTCGTCGTTTTCTCTTCGTGAAAAAATACGAATCGCGGAAATCAAATATTCGGCTTTCTTCGCCGAATATAACGTCCCCCTGACAGTCTCATCCCATTTTCTTGCTCTCATGCAAGATATAGGAAAAGAGCCTCAAGTTTTGCAGGGCATGAAAGTTGGCCGGACAAAATGCACACATATCATCAACAATGTGTTATGCGTTCGCGAAACCGAACGAATGATCGAGAACGTACGGCATAACAAATTTTCTATTTACGAGGATGAAACCTCAGATTCGACTAATGATAAGTGGCTGACATTGGCCGTTAGATATGTAGAACCATGTCGCTTGTCCGTCCGAACAGAATTATTACAACTAATCCATCTGGATGCCGCGGATTGTTCAGCGGAAAAACTTTTCCAATCTTTCGAAAAAGAATTAATGAAAAAGCAGATTCCAATGAAAAATATCGCGGCTCTTAGTTGTGATAATGCGTCTGTTATGACAGGCAAGCGTTCGTCGTTTAAAACCAAATTATTACAAAGAGATCCTAATCTCATTACGTTGCCGTGCGTTTGTCATTCGGCAGCATTGGCGGCGAGTGCTGCCTGTGCAGTAATGCCTAAAGAGTGTGTAGAGTTACTTCGCGGTGTAATTTCATTCATACATAGCAGCCCAAAGCGGACTGCAATTTTTCGGAACTTTCAGGAGAGTTTCGATAACTCTCCTTTAAAAATTTTGAAGTTATCAGATACACGCTGGCTTGCAATGCACCAGTGTGTCAAACGATTTCTGTATATCTGGGATGATTTAGTTCGGTTTTTTCAAGAGCAGTCGTTTTCTGAGAAGTCAGACGCTGCTGACAATTTTTTGGCATTACTAAACAGACCTGACATGAAAGGTTATTTTTATTTTTTAGAATATACATTAAATGTTTTAAATGCGTACAATGCCTCTTTCCAAAGTAGAAGTACAATGATACAAGAATTGCAGCCTTCTTCGACAAGGCTGCTTCAATTTTTTTTACGTAGGTTTTTAAAACCTCTGCTTTTGAAGCATATGGATTTGATTCGCGAAGTTAATTTTAGCTCTAAATCCAACCAACTTCCACTAAATCAAGTGGATCTTGGTAGTGAATGTTCGGATTATTTGGAAGAGGCATTGAAGAACGGAATGTCGGAAGTTCAAGTCAATTCTTTTCGCGAAAATTGTTTGCAATTTTACGTTGTAGTTTCTACAGAAATAAGGAATCGTCTTCCTCATGACGATATTTTCCTAAAACAATTAACGGTGTTCAAACCGATTTACGCGGTGCAATGCAACAACAGACATTTAACCTTCCAACATGTCAGGTCTGTTGCTCGACGGTTAGGGTTATTTAATGCCGATGATATCGAAAAAGAGTGGGATTTTTTATATCATGGCACTTCGAGTGTAGAGAAGCAGAATTGGTCCAAATTATCATTCGATAATATGTGGACCAGTATCTGTAGTTTGAAAAACCCCGAAGGTTACCACCTTTTCCCACATCTTACATCGCTTCTTAGCATTGTAAGATGTTTACCCCATTCTAATGCGGAATCGGAACGCATATTTTCCATGCTCCCTGACATCAAGTCTAAAAAACGGAATAAAATAGGAATTGACCTCCTAAATTCCATTTGCGTGATAAGATCAGCACTTAAAGCTAGACAAGGGACTAGCCGCACCATGTCCGTCGACGACAGACATTTAGATTTGATGTCAGGGAACAATTTATATGCTAAGAGTTCGTCACGCTCGGAAAACTTGAAACAGTTGACCTTGCACGCGTACGTACACAATTAGCTTTCCAACGTTTTGTCCGGCCAATTTTCATATACTAATATACTTATTACTATAATATACTTATTACTAATTATTACACTTATTACTATAATATACTTATTACTAATTATTACACTTATTACTATAATATACTTATTACTAATTATTACACTTATTACTATAATATACTTATTACTAATTATTACACTTATTACTATAATATACTTAATACACTTAATTAGCGTGTATTTGCTCCATGTGTATTTCCGCCGCGTAATACTGTACATTGTCAGCAACGGATTAAATTTCATCACGACAAAAAAGATAAGTTTTCAATAATATTTATTATTTATTATATACCATTACAATTATGATTATTATCAAATTCATGTGTTTATTTCATTTCCGATATAGACAAGCAACGAATCATTCGACATCGCATATCCGTGGACCAGATGCAGCTGGTTGTCGGAAATGCGTGCATGGATGTGTATGGACAGATCCAAAAAAAAGATAAGTTTATAGCAACCTTAATATTTTATCTTCTATTGCTCCCATTCAGATTTCAATTCTGTGTTTATTTGTCCTCAGATGCAGGAACGAATCATTCGACATCGCATATCCGTGGACCAGATGCAGCTGGTTGTCGGAAACGCGTGCATGGATGTGTATGGACAAATTAAAAAAAAAGATAAGTTTATAGCAACCTTAATATTTTATCTTCTATTGCTCCCATTCAGATTTCAATTCTGTGTTTATTTGTCCTCAGATGCAGGAAAGCAACGAATCATTCGACATCGCATATCCGTGGACTAGCTATACAAATACTTCTCAAATTAATATCTTCCAAGCTTTCATTTTACTGTACGTAACATATTAATGTGATGGATTTTTCTTCCAATGTTTTCATATGTATGTACTGCAATAGTTAGAATGAAGGTAACATCTAATTGTAAGAATAATTTGCCTATAGTATATATAAGAGAATATGTATTTGTGTAATATAAAATTTAAATATTAAAGAGTAATAAATACATCTCCCATTTTTGTAAAATGCTTCTTAAATTAATATTTTTGAACCTTTTATTTTACTGGCAAATTACAAACTAAAATTACACAATAATTAAGAATAAAAAGTAAAAGCGTAGCATCGGGATTCGAACGGGGTTATGGACGGGGTCCCTCGTCATGAGGGCGTTAGAGAATTCATGCTGCTCTCGACTCTCGGCGTTTAGATTGCTTGGGATACGGGATTTTGACCTGGCTTGGGCCACTCGGCCGTCGCATCGTAAACGCGTGACGTAGGCTTTTGCCGAGAACACCCGAAGCAGAGCGCACACGGACAGAGGTAGAAAACGCTTGTGTTGGTGTGTCGCCGAGTAGGACGTAGTGGGGGCAGAGCTCACGGACAGGCTAGAATATGCTTGTGTAAAATACCCACGGGAGGCATGGAGAGGGTAAGCGCTCGCGCGGTTTACCCACGATTCTGGCATCAGTGGAGCGAAGGGCATTCCTATTCCAATAAAATAGACTGCAATAAACGAGCTCCTATTGTACCTCGTCGGTGATGAAACACACCCGATGACGCCCGATGAGTAATCTCTGTCTATTTACATACATTGATTACCACAAGATGACACTACTATTTCATAGATTACTAATTATATTGATAATACATAATTTGACAGGTTATTAAATAGCCTCATGGAAATTCTAACGCTCTTACCATTATCGCATAAGAGTAAGATTAACAATAAGCATTAGCGGGAAAATGTTCTTTTTTACGATGAAATGTCGTTAAAAAGATGTTATTTAAGTAAAATTCCCCATACAGAAATTGCAAATGCGTGCGCAGGATGCAATCGTGCCGGGATCGGGATTACAGAACAACATAACCTTACTAGTTAACCTTATCACGTATGAACTTACGTAGCATATGACATACATTTCTCGTGGAACTTCTTGCCTAATCACATTTATAAACCGGAGAAAAATTAAAAAGGACGAAAAATGACAGCAGGAAAAGCAGATATTGACAGGTTAACGTTAAACGGAACTGTAGATGATGAGGATATTGTCACACCCTGGGATGTTGAATCTAAAAACGAAAGCGGAATTGACTATGACAAGTTAATCAGTGAGTTTCATAAAGATCATATTTTACTACAATAAATATTATCACTGTAATGTAATTTCTTTCTGTCTCTGTAGAAAGATTCGGAAGCTCAAAAATCGATGAAGAATTGTTGGCCAGGTTCAAGAAGATTACTGGCAAAGAACCACACCATTTCCTTAGAAGAGGAATATTCTTTTCTCATAGAGATATGCATACTATTCTAAATCTATATGAGCAGGGGAAACCTTTTTATCTGTACACTGGGAGAGGTCCTAGTTCGGATTCTATGCACTTAGGACATCTTATACCATTTATGTTTTGCAAATGGTTGCAAGATGCATTTAATGTTCCATTAGTCATACAATTAACTGATGATGAAAAAGCAATATGGAAAAACTTAAAAATAGAGGATGCAATTAAACTAGCCTATTCCAATGCAAAAGACATCATTGCTCTTGGGTTTAAGCCTGACAAAACCTTCATCTTTTCCAATTTAGAGCACATTGGAAACAATCCAGCATTCTACCAAAATATGATTAGAATACAAAGGGGTGTTACATTCAACCAAGTCAAAGGCATATTTGGATTTGGAGATAGTGATCCCATTGCAAAAATTTCATTTCCACCTACTCAAGCTGCTCCAGCAATTTCTAGCACTTTTCCCTTCATTTTCAATAATGCAAAAGTTCAATGTCTGATTCCATGTGCTATTGATCAGGATCCTTATTTTCGAATGACACGGGATGTGGCACCAAAGATTGGCTATCCAAAACCAGCTTTGCTACATTCTGTATTCTTCCCAGCTTTACAAGGCTCAAAAACTAAAATGTCTGCCAGTAGTGATAATAGTGCAATATTCTTGACAGACACAGCCAAACAAATAAAGAACAAAGTTAATAAACATGCATTCTCAGGAGGACAGGCTACAGTTGAAGAGCACAGACAATTAGGTGGCAATTGTGAAGTTGATATATCATATCAATGGTTAAGATTCTTCCTAGAGGATGATGAAAAATTAGAACAACTTAGAAAAGTAAGTTTAAACTGTATTAAAATTGCAGTTTTCTGTAATTAAACAATGGTACATACAATTGCATAATGAACTATTTTCAGGGTTATACTAGTGGAGAAATTCTAACTGGAGAACTTAAGAAACAACTAATTGATGTTTTACAGCCTTTAGTGGCTACACACCAAGCAGCTAGAAGTAAAATCACAGATGAAATAATCAGAGAATATATGATTCCTAGGGATCTTGGTTTTATAACAAATGCAAAATAGTTGCACAATTATTTCTTATGTATATAAGACACATTTCCATGGAAGGTCCTTTTTTCATGAGTTTATTTAATTTTATTTATTATAGAAATATACAATTCACTATTTCAGTAAGAAATTAATTTTTTTAAATTTGATGGTGATAGATTAAACAGCTTTTCTAAAACACACATGCTTTACATTCATATCTGTATTCCTTTATATTTAAGTACAAATAAGAACTTGAAATTTATTTCATTTTATTATGAATGTTATTTATTCATGTTTACTACAAGTATTCTCTCTATTTTTCTATATACATATGAAAATATTAACTGCCTAAGCCGTATTCAGAAGAATATATTACTTGTTATTGCTGATCCAAGTATAGTTTTCTAGTTTTAAAGCTTAGAATATAACTTTAAGGACTTATATTGAGAGCGTTGATCGTACACAAAATTTATTTTAAATTATTATAATATATTATCAAAACAATAAAGTATTTCTTATTCTATTCTTTAATTATATCGATTTCACGATACGAAATAGAAACTTAAATTGCGATTATGATCTGCCATTTTTATTAACAAAACACGTACATGCAAAGTTCCAATGAACATTTCATTGAAAAGATAATTAAAATACTTTGCATAAATACATAAGAACCTTGAGTAAATCTGAGTTGATAAATATCGTGCAGATTGTGATTACGTAATTAAATAATAATCAAAATGTAATCGTTTATAGAAGGCTGATAATTTGCAAACACGGTTAAACTAAAAATTTACATTATACGAAATTCACATCAAATGAAGACACAATAAAAAAATATAATTTCTTATTGAATACATTTAAAAAATATCTTTGGATGTTTTATTAAATGTAATTGTAATTGATATGTGACGTCCAAAAACCGAAAATGAATAAAGTAATTTGCATACACGTCTATTCATTATCTATAAATAGTGTCACATGTTTTACTGGACAAGCTGTATAAAAGGAATAGCATTATATTTAAAATATATAAAGTGTAAATAAATTTTACACGACTTCAAATGACTACCATGTGTAATCAAATTTCTTATTTCTTGTTTCATTTCAGAATAAGTTTTAATGATAAGTGTTTCATGTGATAACAAGTTCTGGACGGGATGGAGGGGACATACTTTTTTACGTTTTTTTTTCTATACGTAAAATAGTTTAAATCAATTTTGAAAGCGTAACTTCATAAATGCCAACTTTCTAATGTACCGAGTGTAATGATTCTAACAAATTCTGTAATTAGTGACGTTATTACTGTATTTATCATCAACGAGAACTTGATGTTTTTATTTATATGATTCTTTGGGAAAATTAATTCCAGTATCGCGCGCGAGTTAATTTTACTTCAGAATCATATAGATATGATTGCCCAGGCTTGAGCGGAAATCCGAGGCTTTTGATTGGCGATTAATGACGCCATATGCAGTGCTATTAATAAGTCAGCGCATGTGCAAAAAATCGACTAGTGTATCCACCATTCATACAAGTCAATTTCGTTGGTTCTGTGTGTTGAGCCTACCAAAGGAACATGGTGATAGTGATATGAAACAAGTCGATTAGCGATACCACGCTCTACACATATATACTTTCCCGAACTAACGATGACATTTGGTCACGATCTCCCCACGTAAGTTTCGCGAACACGTAGTCGGAGGTATAAACTATTCTAGTCGTAAAGTTTAGCACTGCCAAATAGTTTCCCATTAGAATCTTATACAGCTGATTTTTTCCTCTGTGTATCCCATTAGTTTTGCGATACCGACAAAATTACCATTATAATTTCACAACGAACGCGATTGATTGTATGCAAAATGTTCGCATTTTCAGATTATCTTATACTTTACATTCGACGTTAGAGCGATGTTATGTTCGAATTGTTTTTTTCGCTTCGCTTAAACCTAAATTCTAATTGAATCATAAACTGATTTTTCGGTTAAATCTTTTTACGCAACGGCAATCGAGAAGTAAATTATGTGTAATGTTTTAATATATACATTGAAGAGAATATTATCTCGATCTCGATTTGTATGTATATATCATTGAAGATCACTAGAAATAGATGTAATGTTACATTGTTTTTCATTCCAGCTATGTATAGAAAGTAAAGAATTTTTCTATTCTTTTTCTGTACTTATAATTTTAGGTAAAACTTAAGAAATTGTTATTCGACTGATCAGTTAAAAGATACTGATCAAATTATATCCAAGGAAGCAAATTGATCGAGCTGACTCAGCAGACACTTAATCACAGAGTATTTATACAGAAGCAAAACTTCTGTCGGAATCTTTTGATGTTTGAGACCCCAGGATTTGGGGACCTTGAGATACTACTTAGAGGCGGTGTTGCCGGTTCTTTGCAAAAGTATATTTCCATCACTTTTTGTCAGCCAGTAGATAAAAAAGGAAGCAGAATAGTACACGAAGAATCGAAAACGTTTTGGAAGATTAAAAAGCGCGGCGATATTCAATTCGTAATATCGTAACATACGTAATTCATTTTATTTAATTTGTTATCTGTTGATGTTATAGTTAAACATTCTCTTACAAATAAGATAAATTCTAATTAAGAAATATGTATACACAGAATTTCATGAAGTTTATTTTATGTAATGAATTATACCGTGTTATGAGTCACTTCCGGGAGTAAAACACGTAATACAGACAACATCATAGTATAAATCCTTCTCTCATTTGCCTACATCGTACTTTATGTTCATTAAAATCCTACACATCAAGCGTAAAAACTAGTAAATGTAACATTAAAATGATCCTCATATGTTAATCGGTTTTTGAATTTCGTTCCTAATTCAGGTATCGATATCGCAAGATTCTCTGGAGCCACGTTCATGGTGATACTACTTCGAGACGCATGCGCACTGGAAATCGGGACCTGAAAAAGGGCGAAGTTTCGCCTCTGTAAGAGTGCTCTGTGACTTAATAAATACTATGGGGGCACTTTTGGATACTCCGAAAACAGACAAATATAATGAGCATGGCGAGAGTAATGGACTGCGCTATGGTGTTGCCAGCATGCAAGGTTGGAGAACCGAGATGGAGGATGCTCACAGAGCGATAACTGGTTTAAATGGTGGTCTCGCGGACTGGAGTTATTTCGCAGTATTTGATGGTCATGCCGGTGCACTGGTATCTGCTCATAGTGCAGAACACTTATTAGAATGTATAATGCAAACAGAAGAATTCAAAGCAGAGGATGTTATCAAAGGGATTCACTCCGGCTTTCTCAGACTTGACGATGAAATGAGAGATTTACCAGAAATGAGTTCCGGCACAGACAAATCTGGCTCCACAGCTGTTTGTGCATTCATATCTCCCAGAAATATATATATTGCTAATTGTGGCGATTCTCGAGCTGTACTCTGTAGAGCAGGTGGTCCGGTTTTCTCAACACGGGACCATAAACCAGTTTTGCCCGCTGAGAAAGAAAGAATTCAAAATGCTGGTGGTAGTGTAATGATACAGAGAGTTAACGGAGCCTTAGCTGTTTCTCGTGCATTGGGAGATTATGAGTACAAAAATTTGAAAGATCGAGGTCCCTGTGAACAGTTAGTGTCTCCAGAACCAGAAATATTTGTGCGAGATAGGGACGATGAACACGATGAATTTCTAGTTTTAGCATGTGATGGTATTTGGGATGTAATGAACAACGAAGATCTATGTGATTTTATACATTCAAGGCTGCTGCTTACAGACGACTTAGAAGCAGTTACAAACCAAGTTATAGACACCTGTCTTTACAAGGTAATGATATCTACAGCTTCACACTTATACTTTATAACAAGCATTTTATTATCATTTTCCAAGATGTATTAGTTTAAATATTTTTATTGCCCATAAACAATATTATGTATTGATTACATCTCTAGAACTGAGGAACATTAACATTAAGCATATCTTATTCAGCTTATAATACAGTGATAAAATTATGTATTTCATCTGTAGATACTTCCATGCAACCATTATATTACAATCTTTAACTTTCACTTATTATCAGCATGACTGATAATATGTACATTACAACATTATAAGCTTTAGATAACATCCTGGTTTTATCTTTTATGTCACCAATTTTGTTTACATCTCTTTTATATACTCATTGATTATTTATGAACATATAGATACTAATGTTTGATTATGCATCAGTAAGATACAATGTTTTATTAATATGCTCTGTACCACTAACAATAGGCAGACTTCTTAAATTCCATATGTTACAGGAAAAAAAGAATTGCACTTTTTTTGCAGATTTATTTATTACAAATGATTTTTGTGTTCAGGGTAGCAGAGATAACATGAGCATAGTTTTGGTAACGTTTCCTGCTGCTCCAAAGCCAAGCCCAGAAGCACAGAAAAAGGAAGCCGAGTTGGAAACGGCCATTGAAAGGAGAATTAAAGGTTCATTAACATTTCCATATTCACAACAATTATATTCTTTCTGCTGTTGCATTAACACAAGATCACAGTATCATACACGAACTTGACATTCTGACAACTCCTAAATTAAGAATTACAAATCATTCAGTAATGATTTATTAGTACAATCAATTACAATCTTTATAGTGACATACCACGAGTACAAAAAAGTAGATCTGTGTTCCTCATAAATTAGTGATCAAATATTTGCATTCATTTTGTGTTCAAGATTATTTTACTACTTTATTCCATGTACAAATTGTACAAATCTAAAGCAAATGTAGCTTTTAACTTATTAGTTAAATAGAGAAACACTCATATATGATTGAATATGTAGTATTGAAATTTATCTTATTGATATTTTAATGTTGTCTGTAGTAGAATGTTTCATATAATTCGAATATTTATTGTTTGAAAATTATTTTACTAGCCTCTACTATACATGGATCAATTTAAATATATATTAAATATTATATTTTAGTATATAAATATTGGTCAAATTTTAAACTATGTTATAAGTAAATGCCATACGCTTTTGGTATCTTGTATACGTCTCCTCGAAGATACATATATATATATATATATACATATATGTGTGTTTCTATTAAGAAACGATAAAAATTTATTCTTATTCAATGAATGTATTTTCCTATTATATAACGTATATATTTAAAAGTTTAACTATAATATTGCGTTGTATTAATTTTTTATTAAGAGTGATTACCGGTTGTACATTTATCGGATAAAGTATTATACAAAAGTGCAAAGCATATAGGTAATTATAAAAATTGTGTGTTGTGCCACTTAAGCAACAGGTAAATTCCAGTTTTTTGGTATTTTACCTTGTGATTAATCGTATTTGTGCAATACAAAAGTTCTCGTCAAACAACTTGCCATATTTTCAATGAATATATGCAATTCTCAAGTCACAGAATTGCAATTTATTTTTATAGTGTCTTCTTTGAGTAAAACATTCAGTATTCATCTTTCCTCATTCTTATCACTTATACACTGTGTATTGTTTACTCATTATACAAAATATCATAATTCACAGATACTTTCCATGTGATAAATACTCTAATTTTCTTAGTATCCAACTATTGACTTGTACCAAGTATATTTTATTGTATTTTAATCAGTTTCAAATAATAGTACTATATACAAAAGTACAAATGAAACATTCTTGAAAAGTATATTGTAAAAAGGTGTATAGTATAATTTAGTGGAATGTTCAGTGTATTTGAAGTACTTGTAAAACTGATAAGTATTCAATATGATTTGAAAGTTTATTAAAGTATTATAAAAGCACTTATTATGTATATTTCTTGAGTATTATACCAAAAATATATTATCAGTATAGATTATCATATTAGATTAATAGTGTCTGTATCTCTAATTTAAGATATTAGAACGATAGAAACTTATAAATACGTTAATCGTTATTTATATTTAATATTAGTTTTCCTTGTTATCAAATTGTATTAATTATTTTTTTCTTAATTAAACGGTTTTAACGCCTAGAATTATTCTTACTTAAAAATGCATTCCACCCTTGGAGTTGACATTTTTAAAAAGATTCTTGTAAGTAAAATTTCTGTTAAAATGTTGTTTGTTCCTCTTTTTGAACACATAAGTGGTGTCACAGGTAGGTGAACGTTTCCTTATGAAGGTATACAAATATCTTACCTACTACATTCGTATTCTTTCTTTAAATAACACATTTCTTATGGAGGAACATTTCAACAAAGCAATTGTTTTCTAAATGTATACATTCCATAAATAGTATAGTACAATTCCAGAGGTGGATTAGTTTCAAAAGAAATTACAAATATAATTATGAAATCACAAGCAAAGATGTATCTACTTAAGACCGGATTTCATTTTCAGGTTTTCCATAAGAAATGTATTCAAGCACTAACTATTCCAGTCCTAAGTAGATGCATGTATTTGTAGTCATTTTGTTATTTGTTTTTTTATTGTATAATAATTTCTTATAAGCAAAAAAAAAATTAGTATTTTGTAATATTTTTAAAAATCAGCGATAGCAACGTGTATTATTAAATCTAATTGCTCTGTTCAAAGATACAGATCATAATTTGTAAGCCACATTTAGTAGAATATTTTATCCACCAGCACAAATATGATAGTAGATGCACAATGCACTTGATGACAATAGAAAAGTTGTATGAATAATTTTATTATATATATTTATGTATAATTATTTTAAATGATGAGTGTCCTTAATTGACTTAAAAGTGATAATTTCTTTTATTATATTTTTAGAAATAGTTGCTGCCCAAGAGGATAAAAATGAATTTGATTTTCTGAAACTGTTACAACTTCTTGTGGACCAAGAATTTCCTAATCTGCCTCCTGGTGGTGGTCTTTCAGCAAAGTGAGTATATTCATAAATATTGTTCAATTGTAATTTAAGCTTAACATAAGTATATTTTTCTTTTAGTTACTAAAGTTATATTAAGGTTGGTATCATTAAGATTAAAGGCATTGAAGTTTATTATCATGTTTGGCTTATTTCCAGGAATAAAATTTCCCCTCTAAAATTTGTCTTCTCAAAAGCTAATATAACTGAGCACATTGTTTAATATAACTTTAAGTATTTTAAATTTATATTTGTTTAATAATAATGTATGTATTTTTGCTCCTTTTCAGGCAACCTTTCATTGAACAAGTGTTTCGAGAAGTATGTCCCAGCCAAGCGCATAGTGTAAGTCATGGATACGATTTCCCTTTGATATAACTAACCCTTGATCTTTTTCTATACTGCATCAAGTGTACAACTATAATCATTAGACATGTTCCATAATCATATAACGATGCAGATGCTATCAGAAATATCTTTATTTTAATGATCCCTTCTGATATAAAGAAATTCGTTTTAAAATTGTAAGAAAAGTACACTGGTATATTATGAATTAAGTCTTATCTGAAAGAAATCTGCCGGTGAACATGTGCAGATAGTAAATTCTTGCAGTACGTTATTGTTGGCAAAAATAAATTAGAGTTTAAAAATACATCTAAAGATCGTAAAATATTATACATTTACCCAGTCAGAGAAACATGTACATGGTAAAGATTCTTAAGTTATTTCGTATGTTTGATAACAATATAAAATATGAATATTTCTTTTGTGATTATTTATTACAAAACGAAATTTATAATATTCAGGGAAAATATCTTTAAATGCAGGGATACTTGATGAAATCAAGATACAGTGGAAAAGCTTAAAAATTTTGCAATGATCACTTTCATAATACTTAATAATTATTATTAAAAATTGTTCGTTTGTGTTATCAATTAAGACGTTTAATTTACAGTACAAGTAATATACAAAAAATTAGAAATATATCTAGACAATAGAATTCTTCGTTTTCTATTTCCTCTTTTTGTCTTAAAAGAGTATTATGAAACAAATATGTGGAAAACTATTGATAGTTTATAACACTGAAATATTGAGAGACATTTCTCAGTGTACTTCATTGCATAATATATTGAAAAGTGCAAAGTGAATTCATGAGTACATCCTGCAGCTGGTTCCAATTAATATTGGTATTGGTGATTTTCATAATTATTACAACCTATTGTTGGACTTTATAAATTCTTCATCCAAGGAGTGAAAAGTGTTTATATTACAGTTATTATAAGCAGAGGATTTAGAGGTATTCTACTGAGAAGAAATGCAGATATACTTATATTCTATGGAAAACTAGATAATGTGAGAAACTGCTTGAAATTATGTTGATTCAATAACACGAATTACATATTGAAAGGAGTTCAAGTATGTTAAGTTTAAAACACTTAAATTACTTAAGGTTTATATTTTTCATAATTTTTATAAAATCTTTAAAGAAAAAAAACAAACATTTTTTAATATTTTTGTATAATAATTTACTCACCAAATAATATTACTCTTTTTATAAGCCAAAGTTATTTCACAGATCTAGATTTTCATTAAAATTAACACTTAGTAGAATATTTATATCATATCCTCTTGCTATGTTGATAAAAAAAGAATGCATAATATTACTATATATAATTATATATTTTTGTAGCTCTAGAGAACTTGCGCTCAGAATATTTACTTCGTCGATCAGTTTTTCATGCTCTTCCTTTGTTATACGTTTCAAAAACAGTTTCATAACTGTTTCTTCTATACATATTTCGGAAGGTATCAAATTTTTTCATATGCGAGAAGAGTAGAAAAACTGATCACCTAGTTTTAGGAATACCAATACTGTGTATATATATATAAAAGTTGTGTCGAGAAAACAGTGTATCAATATTTTATTTAAATCATTTTTCAAATCAAGCAGTAGGAATGTAGCAGGGAGGCCTTGATTTTAGTTTCTTAAGAGAGAACTGTATTTTACATTAAATTGTTTGTATTTCAATTGTCAGAGAATTTGAGATAAAGTGATTTAATTAATAAATGTCACCAAGTTTGAAACATTATAATTAAATGAAAATAGTGTATCATTAATACTATCGGCTTAAAGTTTTCAATAAATTACCGAATCACATACAGTTTAATGATCAGCACCCCTTATTATGTTCAGAACATGTAAGTATCATATACGTTTGAGAAAAATGTGGTACCAAAGTAGAATGTTATTGGTTTTGGTGATTGACTTTGTACCCATCCAAAATTTCCTGTTTGTGTTACATGGAAACTATATGTCAAGGCCATCCTCGGAACATAAAAGTCTATCATATGTATACCAAAGTATATATTACTGTTCCTGGTTTAAGAAGTCCTGAAATTAACTGAAGTTAACAATCTAATATCGTTTTAAAGTAATATATATTAAAATAAATAATAAATCCCGTATATAAAGTTATCTCCGCTATTTTTACTAATAACGAACTACGGAGTGTATAAAAAAGGAAAATCATATTTTGCCAGTAGTCTAAATCATTTACTTTACAAGTTCTGATCAGACGTATTTTTTTATGTATATTCTCTGTGAAGTTTAATTTTTGTAAATGTCCTACAAATCTTATAACGAAATATTGAAGATAGTTTTCTCACTGATAAAAATTCACTGCAAATAAGAATCGCAAAGTAGTTAAATAATAGTTACGTCGTCATGCCTTGTCTATTAACTACTTGTACTACTAAAATATGTTTTACAGTTAATGTTACAAATTTATGTGCTACAAAAGTTTGTTATAACCGAAATACCTGTGTACTTTCAATTAAAAAGTGAACTTTTTTACGTTCGTATATGCAACTGCAAGTTTACTGTCAGTCTCTAATTTGCATATATATATACTTGAAAATGTTAGTAAGAATAGAAATAACAGTAATAATAATATTAATGATAATAGTAACTATGATTGCGGTCGCAATAATAAATTTAAAGTGCATTTTTAATATGGGCTTCTACTACTACCAATGGTACAATATTTTATACTTATAGTCCTGTTCTGCGCTCAATATAATTTTGTATGAAGCTTATAAATTTTTAAGAGTCATAAAATAGAATGATAGAAACATTTCCTGACTCGTATCAAATAAGAGAAGAACTTACTTACTGTACTTAAAATAATTCAAGTATGTTATACAGAATAGGACTATCAGTTGATTATGAAATATATGCATCTTACTATTTTAAAAACAAAGTAGTAGTTTTTATTTTATTTTGTACATAGTTTTGTGTATGTTTTATTTTAATTTTGTTCAAAAGATTTCGTGGAATGTGCCTGCATACTTACTTCAAAATGACATTGATATATTTGAAATTTTTGTTTAAGAGATTAATATTTTATAAACAACAGATGGGGTGTAAAACAAACAAACGCAAAGTTATCTTTAACAAACCAAAATGATAGTCAAAACTGTAACATGTAACTATTTATACATAGATTTTATTATTTCATATTTACTTTTTGGAATTCAAAAGAAAGAGCAATACGTTTAAACATGTTTCCTAAACCAATTTCTTTAATTTCATAGCATAACCCTTTCACACTCCATTTTCATTCCTTTAGATTTCATTTCGAAGATACTTCAGTCCTTTCCTACAATCAAAGTTGAACTCTGGAATTGCCTTTCTCGATAATAACTGTTAGTATGCCGATATATTTATATATACTAAATTAAATGTACTTAATTTGTTTTACAAGGTAAAAAATCACAAATACAAAAGTAACATCAAACGGGTTACCTACTATTTTTATATGTACATTTCAATATGTCTTAATACGTAGAAAAACGTTTCTAATATCGACACCCGCTTGAATTTTTGTGTAAATGAATAGCTACTCATAACTATGCATTTCATTGTTGGAGATGGAACTATATTTAATTCGATAACAAGTTTTTTCTTTTTTTAAAGGAATATTCTTTTGCTATAACATACATATTTACACGTATAAATAAAATAATCTTTCTTTATCTGTCTTTCCTACTAATACATAATTTGTACACATGGGGTATAATATATACTGCATCACAAAATAAGATTGGATTACAGCATGTTTCATATTATATTTTATTATCTATTTTAACTAGTAATATGTTGTAAGGCCTTAACTATATCTTTTTTTCAATTTATTAATTTAACATGTAATAGTAAGGTAATAATATAAACATTTTACTTACAGTTAGCTCTTTAAGGAAATTATTAATAAGAATAAATGCTTTCGTTCATTATGTATATGAGTTCAAGAAGCGTGTAAGGTTCTTGGATGAGTATATATTTTATACTGAAAATTTTCATGTCTTGAATCCAGCATAATAGAAAAAATAACTTTACAAAGTAGATTTATCTAAAGATGAAAATTTATATATAGATTTATCTATATGATATTATTTATGTATGTTATTGTACATAATATAGTAATTAAAAACATATTTCATGGATATGCTTATTATTTTGATAAATGGGTGTGTGTGGTTTGCAAGATTTTGATTTTATTATATTGCAACATTTATTACTAATTCTTCAACAAATAACGCATTATCTTCTCATTGATAGTTGTTAGCCTTTATTTTCTGTATGTTCTAACGATTGTGATCTGAATTTGAGTACAAGTATTTATAATTTTATTCAATGCTCCAGTTACTTTTTAATCACTTTTAATGTTTTCATTATACAAGGATATTATTTGGAAATTTTATCAATTGAAGTACATAGTCACAATTTGTAATGTAATTTTGTTATTCCAGACAATATTGTTAGTGTTGATAACATTCTGCCATTCTATTTGTCACATTTTAAAACGTAATGACTAATTTTATTTGAAACATACTATGTGTAATTTCCAGAGTTTTTATATTGTTTTGGACAGCTTATTTATCATTTCTGAAGTTAATGTATCAATTTAATTGATGTACACATTCTCACAATATTAAATAAGCAGTATTTAATATTGTTCAGTGTTAGTAAATAAGCATTAAAATATAATAGCTCAGACAAGAATTACTAGTTTGTTGAAATGATAAGAGAAATATACTTTTTTGGCTAGATTAGACCATAAGCTAGATTTAATTCTTCTAACATACCTAACATTAAACGTGAGAGAAAAGTAAAAATATACTTTAACTCAAATTAGTACAATATTTATGTTATATTCATGGTCTTTGGGCATTTTTTTAATACTTCAAGATAACCAACTTTGTCGATATGATATACAGATAGTGTAAGTATGTATCGCATTTTTATACTTTCGATCGGCGGCACCAATACTCACTACACTGTACATGTCTAGTAATGAAATATTTGCTACATATCTTAATGTTAAAATATGTTTAGAGTAGGCTGTAATGAATAGTTTAAGAGTACAATATTAAACAACTATTTCGTTTTTATTTTAGGATTAATAACATTCCTTTTGTATCATTGTGATGATAATGTAGTACAAATAACATTCTGTCCTTCTGTAGGGATACTAAGAGGAACACTGTGTTTTAATAATAAGTATTTTATTGTAAACTCTATACGCAAAAATATATGAGCAAGAAAATTAAAATACTATATGATGATATGCTTACAGAAATCACAAGCCAGTTAGTGTACACAATATGTATACTATTTGATACATGTAGTACATACTAAACTGGCCGATCCAAAAGTCATGAAAGTGAGATACCGACCAACAAGAACTACAGAGGAGTGCTACATGAACAGAGACTATGTGGAATGGTAATTGAATGATGTTGCAGGCATATTTCATTTCTCGTTAAGCAATTCTGAAAATCATATTGCATCATAATATTAAATTTAAAAACAAAATTTATTGTACAAAGCATCTTATTTCTAAGTGAGGGTAAAAAATCTGATCAAGTTCTCTATAGCAATATATTATAGGTTTTTACTTTGAATATATTTAGCTAATGTTGTATGTTATTACCCTTCTAATCAATAAATATTTATCAACTATACTTTGTTGTTTTCTCACCATTTGTGCAAGTTTAAAGTTTTCTCTCATTATTGATAATAGAAAAAGTAATAAATATACAATGGATAGAATACTAATCTTAAATATCTTCAATATATTAAACTATCGTGCATAGCAGAAAATAAAGTTGCTTAGAATTAAATAAATCAAAAGGTGCAAGAAATTGGTAAAAAACAGATCCTAATTTATTCAAGATATCACAATAAAACTTTGTTTAGATAATACATAGCCATTTTACATGATATATAAATGGTGTAAGCATTAATTTATATATATACAGTTATTTACTAGTCTCACTATAAATATTTTGTATACACTTTCATAAATGTCATTCAAATTATATTTTAAGAACTAGATTTGTAGTTTTCCCCTTCAGCTAGAGCACATCGAATCTTATGTGCTATTGAATTTCCTTAAATTTTATAATTAACGGCAATAGCATCAAAATATACCTATTAAATAATATTTACAAATTTGTGCTGGTTTGCATAGAAAATTTAATTTATATGTAACATCATGTTTTATGATTTAATTATCATTCCATAAAATTGTTTAGTCCACTTATCATAATTTATAAAACACTATATTTTTCGAAAATCGGACAAGTGTAAAATTACCTAATCAAATATAATTTACACATGATTCTACTTATTCCCATATACGATATCTTTACGTTTCATTGTATTGTAAGCTTAACAATTATAAAGAATTTGATTTGAAAAATTTTCTTTGCCATATTTCATACTAAGAGAATATTACACAAAATGTATTACTAACACTGATCAGTAAAAGTGTTATTATAATTGGATTATGTTTAATCATTAACGAATTTTTGTATTCGTTTTCTGTTTCGTAATTACATGTAATCAAGGATTAACGTTTGTCAAGTGCGAAAAATCAACTAACTTTGTCGCGTAACACGTGCATTACAAGAAGTAATGTACACTTCATTCCTACGTATTATACATATATACCGAACATTTTTAATTATTGTAAATTAATTAAATAAAATATGTAATTAGAAAAATTTCATCTTCTATAGAAATTGCGTATCACTTTTTTAATAAATATTTTTATGGTGCGAGTACATTATATCAATGCATTCGTGCTCTAATAGTAACATACATACTATTTCTTTGATCTCTTATCGAATCTATATAACATGATTTTAACAACGTTTCAAATACAAAATTCATTTTGATGTCATACATAGTATTCTTAATGTTAATTTAATATGATCGAAAGTGATTAACACAATGCAGCCTCCCTCCCCTTCTTACATTCATGTTGTATATTGTCAGGTATGAAATGTTTAACAGGTCTTACTTCTATAATATATAATCAAAAATATACATGAAACATGGTATGGTCATACCTACGCAGGAATAATAACATTTTTAAGACATCGTTTTTTATATTAGACACATCGTCTTTAAGTAGCAAGTTTGTCACTTGATTCGTCTGTTTGCGTAGAGAAACAAATTGATATGAGGTTTAGAATGTTATGTTAAAAGTTCAAGTAACCTAAAAGTTTATATAGACAGCATGATATAATGACAGTAATGATGTGGTTGATGCAAAGAAACAATTTATGTATACATTAACAAATACATAATCACGCAAAGTGCAGTGAGTGTAAAAAAGGCAGTCATTTTAAACTCACATACATCCTAATAATAAATCATACTTATGAGTAAACAATGAAAGTGTAGTGTGCAATGGTTAAACATTCGCTTATACACTGAAAAATTTGTACCAAAGTGTTATGTTCTTTATCACGAGTGTACCGTAAAATATTTGGAATTATATTACAAGTAACAACACAAAATCAATATATTACATAAATGGTTTAAAATAAACTAATTATCAGATCTCACGAAAATCTTTAGCGGAGGAATTTGAACTATTTCACATGTCATATATGAATTACTTAATTCATAGATATATATGTACAGTACATTATACTTTAAACACCCACCTCTCTCAACACAATGTTCATGTGTTTTAAAGCATTATCAATGTTTGTGTCATCTGCTACATACGTTTTTACATATGTAATCGCAACTTGTATAAAAAGAAGTTTGTTAATTTTATAATAACAGTCTATTTGTTAGTCGTCCATCCACGCCAGATGGAGGCGATGCTAGCTGCAGCACTTGTAACTAAACCACCAGCAACACTCTGATTCACTTGCATACTAGATGATTGCTGACTAATCATTGCACCAGGAATTGGAACAGCCATTTCAGGGCATGCAACATTTGGTACCTATAAAGATAAAGCTCGTATGGTGTATGTTTTTATAATTAAATGCTTACATCATTTTGTAAGAAGTCAAGAAAAGCTTACAGCTTCCCACTCCCAATTAAAAGCATCTTCCTCTTCGTCAGAAGCAGAATCATCGCTATTTTCTAAATCTGGAACTAATTGACTGTGCAGTTGTGTTACAATGTTTGGATCCACTTCCATTGGACCAATTCTACATAGGAATATATAAAGAATCATTTGTTTACTTTTTGCGTCGATACAACTGATACATACCTTCCAAGATCACTGATTTCTGTATTGAGCAAATGCATCAGGTTTTGTAGAGTATGCATTGGATGTAAGACAGCAATATTAGTATTTTGTGTGAAACATAAGTGTAACACATTGCTGTTGAGTCTTGCTACTTTCCTCGCAAATTTTTGATCCGACATTTCGTTTCCACAAAATTCACTAAAAAATTTTGATTCATAGCAGTAAACAATGAATGATAATGGTAAATATAGTAGTAGGTAACTTGATGCATAAAAAAATGTTCTAACATTAAAAAATCATTTTTTAATGCATAAAATTTGAACTTAAGAAATTAAATATTTGGCACATACCCATAAGCAAGTTTATATGGTAGTCTTACATTAACATAATAGGCAATAATATTAACCAATTGCGTAGCGTAAGTTAAAGCAGCACTAATATTGTAAGCTGGATTGTGCATTGCAGTTTCTTTATTTGCACCTGGCACACCATCCTTGTTTGCTGCCACTGAATAAATAAATTAATATTTATTTAAACATCTATGAATATAATGGCAATTGATAATATAAAATAATACATACCCCATAGAGAATAAGCACTGTAGTCACCAGTTCCTGGCAAAGTAGGAGCAATTATACGGTGTTGGACTTCTGAAGAATTGTCTGTATCGTTGATCCATCTGCCTCTGACATAAGATGTTCCACATGCGTCTGCCAATGCACAAGTTACTACATCTGAACTAGTATCTTCCTCGCTGCTACATAAACTACAAACAATCAATGTTTCAGTTTCAATATCTTTTGGGAAGGAATTACTTTGTTAATAGAAACAAGTAGAAAAATATTGAATTGTTGACTGTATCTTTTGTTAATGTTGAACACAAATTATGCAATTTATTACCTTCTGTTAGGTTGAACTTTTGACAATGGAAAAATATACTGAATTAATTGTTTTGCAGCTGTTCTGATCACTTTCTTTAACTGTTGCCGTTTTCTATCTACTGCCTCTTTTTGTTTCTCTTGTTTTGCTCTCAAACCAGTAACATATCGGTGTAATTTTTCTACTCGTTCTTCGTGTCTAGGTAATCTAAGTGCTAACTGAGAGTTTACATCTTTGAGAACATTCAAACGTTGATTACCTGCATATCATTAAAATTTCTTCAATACAATAATTGTAACATTATGAAATTAGAATTTAAAGTGAAATATACCTCTGTTTATACTTTGCCTGGTTTCGTTCACTAGTGATTGGAGAATTCTGACTCTTTCTTTACAAGTATTTATATCACATATCTATGAACATGAGAAATTGTAAATATAACAGTGTACGAAATTATAACCAAATCAAGTGCAATATATGACAACGATTGTAAAATACCAATTTATCCCGTTGTTTGTGTTTCTCCAGAGCCTTTACACATTTTTCTTCCAGTTGAGCCCTTGCAGCTTTCAGCCGTAGAAGTCGCAATTGTTTATCTGCAAATCTGTCCAGAAATTAATCGCCATAAAGTGTCATCCTTTATAAGTAAAAAATGTTTAAATATAACAATAAATCAGTATGAAAATAACATTATTGTATAAACATGTTATTCAAGAAAATAAAGTTTTAAAACCGTATATCTTCGCATGAAATAACTTTTTACGTATTAACAAAAATAAAAGTCAGCTTGCAACTAACGTACAAAAAAACTGTTCGTAGGACACAGAATGCCAGGAAAGATCTCAATATACGTAAACAAACTGGCACTAATCACACGTAAATTGAGAACATATATATTTACCGTTCAGAATAAACAGAAGTTGAATGAATAAAATCACCATTTTGGATGCACTGTCGACAGTAAAAAATTCGACGACTATTATGGCACAGCTGACATTTTAATAGATTCACACTCAACCGGCTCGAAACGTCTTCGAGCTCCGACGAAAGCTGAAAATCTGCAGGTGCTGTACAGGAACCATCGGAACTGCTTGTCGCCATAACCAAGAACCAGAACAATGGGTCTCCGTCTGTCTGTTGTCACTCATCAGCTGATCTGATATTTACTTGTATTCTCCCGCCACTCCGCACGCGATACCGTTTTTATCGCGTATCTTCACTTTCATATTTATTCTGGCCGCGCACAGACGAACCAGTCTCATAAAATATTTCCATCCGATTCGACGAGTAATTGTTGAATTATGGAAAAAACAAACTTAAATCTCGGATTACGTATCTCATGGCTGCACCGTGGCAGCAATCCTCTTGGAAAAATCCCGTTGTGCGGATGAGATAAGGATAAGGGGATAGACCAGCTGCTGTCGACCTCTGTAAAGTTAACCGGACAACTTTAACTTTTTAACGTTTCATTATACCCAATCGATTGGTAGTAGTTTGGTGGTCATTGATGGCCTAATTAGAACATTTGGTGGTCACGCGTTCTTTTGTAATTAAGTGATCAAAATTTGACCGTGAAGTTAGCCGAAAAATTTTTTTTTTGCCGGATTCAGTTTTTTAAATGTTCAATGGATGCGTAATCGTTTGATGGGCATTGGTGGCCCAATTACAACATTTGCTGGTACCACCGACTAGGTATAGAATAGACCTATCATCCAATGCTTTTTTCTGTCCCACGTTCATAGGGCTACGTAGCCCTGTTACCATTTTAGTGTCAATATCCGACGTTACCGATAAAACATGAATTCTGAGTATTATTAGCACAAATGAAGTGTTATATATTCCATTCATATTACGTGTATCTTTATGATTTCACGAGAATAAAAATACCCGATGCTTCAGTTTAAGGTTAAGGGATAAATATGACAGTCATGAAACATGAAACAGAAAAGTATATATTTTTTCACTTAACTACAAGACAATTTATTCTAAATGCATCGTTAATGGACATTTTTATTAATGTTACTTTATACATGTTCTTGTTTTATTCGTTTTTATATCTTGCCTTACATTTGTATATTTGTAACAGATAAATTCAGAATAGATGTAGTTTCATAAATAGTTTATCAAATCTACATGTGGGAGAATATATACACCGCTTTCATTAACATCTACATATTTATAATTTATATGGGAGTGTGAATAGTTTTACTGCCTATTGTAAGAATTTTAATACGCACGAACAATTACTTTCTGGCAATTGGTAAATTTTTACATATGAATTTACTTACACGTTATTTACTTTCAAAAATTTTATATATTGCGAGTAATTAAATAATAAACGTATGTTAATATTCAGCTACGTGTCTCTCAAATTAAGTAAAATACAGAAGTTTCAATTTTCTTGAAAATTAGTGTCAAAGAATGCAACAACTGGTCAGATTAGTTTCGTAAATAAATCGAAACCCTGTATCGGCACATTGTTTTTTATGCTATCAAATATCACACGGAATCTTTTAGGAAGTAGTAAAATCTTTTACACAAATTCAATGAAATACTTTCAGGTACCCAGTTTAGGGCTATGAAATTAGAATGTTCAAGAAGAGGTAAAAAAGTTTCATATTTGCAATTATTTTGTGAAATGAATAATAAATAAGGGTCTTAGGGATTTATACTGGAGAGCTAAATCTTTAAAAGGAACATGTCGCTTAAACAAATTAGTTAAAAATGATATTTATTTGGGGAATACGAACATCATAAATGAACGAGAGCGTAGAGCGAGCCGCCGTATCGGTGCTCTCCGTCGGTGCGACGCGTGCCGAGGAATTTCGGTGGTCTATGGGAGGAGGTGTGCGAGCGAGAGAGTACAGTAGAGCGTGCCGCGGTATCGGTGCTCTTCGTCGGTCCAACACGCTAATGACGTTGCGTCACACAGTTCATTGACCTAGACGTGTACGCAACAGGAACAAACCTGCGTACGCCCAATACATCACAGCGTTAGCTTCCTCACTTTCTCGTGAGCCGTCGCGGAGGGTGGGCGCGTGTCTCATACTCGTCTTTTCTCTAGTTACTAACCCATTGTTTGTTGCAGGCATTCGACAACCATCAATTTATTTACTGTGCATATTATTAATTTATTTACTGTGCATATTCTTGTGTCCCCTCTCTTGTT